GGTGGAGCGCATCTTAACGTTACCTTTGTCCGGATTACTGTGTTCCCACTGTTTGCCGACTCTTTGTTGGAAATTTCATATGGATCCAAATCGTTAAAAGTGCCCGTTTTGTCCACATACCGGTCTCTGGCTTCCCTATTTAACATTCCGTTAAATTCCATATCCTTTTAGGGATTTTAACATCTTTTTTCTTTTCTTTATCCCAACTCTGCTGCTTCTCCTCGTTCGACTTGCTGTATGTTTAATGACGTCACGACGCCCAAGCCCTATTAACATTGTTACATTTTATAAACAATATTGTCAATATTGTTTGTTTTCCCTTTATTTCGCTGACGAGAATTTCAAAATGAAACCGTAGCAGAGTCTCAATGCAAAAGACAGCGATGATTTCTTGACTGAAATCGCGTTTTGAACGAATCATTTTAACGATTCAATAAACAATCACTTGCAGTTCCTGAATGAATCAGCCGTTTGAACAAATCGGTTGAATGAATGAATGGGGAACGCCAGAACGTTGAATGAATGAGTGGGGAACGCCATCCAGCGCAGTCACTGGCGACCTGCAGCGACAAAGTCGCTTGTAGTGTGAACGGGGCTTAAATGTTAAATTAGATAGCGTTTAATTATACTGTACTGCTGAATGCCTATAATAAATGGCTAAAATTGAGGGGGAAATTCCATTTCATAGAGACTTCAATAGCAGTATTGGTATGGGTGATACTGGCCATCTTTCAAAACAAGATGCCATTGAAGAAATATTTAAAATATATGATACTTTTGGGGGTTTTTTTCTACATTCATTTGGAGATTAAATGTGATATTACAATATACAAAATATCAAATAAACTTTAATGTTAGGTAAGATTAATCGCAATTAATTACAGAAAAATGTGTGGTTGTTTTTTTAAGTGATTGACATTTATATATATATATATATATATAAAATCTACTGCTGCTACATAAACGTAATTGTTTTAATTTTATTTAAATCATAAAATAATAGTAAAAAGTGTTGAGGAAGTATTGATATGGTATTGCTTGTCTATTTTTTTTTATACTAGTTGAACCTTTTCCATGCAAAAACTGCAAATGACACTTTATTTTTAAACATCCTGTCTCAGTTTGAATTAAATGTAGGTACAAATTTTTTTTTTGTGCTCTCCACAAGCATTTTTGTGTGTATTACACGAAGACACCTGAGCTTCTGCTCATATTTAGAATGGCCTTTAGAAATCGCACAGAATAAAACTGTTGCGATGTCAAATTTGATAAATCCCTTAAGGAAATTTAAAGGGATACTCCACTTTTTTTGGAAATAGGCTCATTTTACAACTCCCCCAGAGTTAAACTGTTGAGTTTTACAGTTTTTGAATCCATTCAGCCGATCTCCGGTTCTGGCGGTACCACTTTTAGCATAGCTTAGCATACATCATTGAAGTGGACAAGACCATTAGCAGTTCTCAAACAAAAATCACCAAAGAGTTTCGATATTTTTCCTATTTAAAACTTGACTCTTCTGTAGTTACATCGTGCACTAAGACCGACGGAAAATGTAAAGTTGCGATTTTCTAGGCTGATATGGCTAGGAACTATACTCTCATTCCTGCGTAATAATCAAGAAACTTTACTGCCGTACCATGAGAGCAGCAGGCGTAATGATATGACGCAGCGCTTGAAAATAGGCCACCTTCCGTCAACACAACGGAACTATTTTCAGGCGCTGCGTCATATCATTACGCCTGCTGCACTCATGGTACGGCAGTAAAGTTTCTTGATTATTACGCAGGAATGAGAGTATAGTTCCTAGCCATATCAGCCTAGAAAATCGCAACTTTACATTTTCCGTCGGTCTTAGTGCACGATGTAACTACAGAAGAGTCAAGTTTTAAATAGGAAAAATATCGAAACTCTTTGGTGATTTTTGTTTGAGAACTGCTAATGGTCTTGTCCACTTCAATGATGTATGCTAAGCTATGCTAAAAGTGGTACCGCCAGAACCGGACATCGGCTGAATGGATTCAAAAACGGTAAAACTCAACAGTTTAACTCTGGGGGAGTTGTAAAATGAGCCTATTTCCAAAAAAAGTGGAGTATCCCTTTAAGACTTATATGCATTAAATATAATTTATTTGTATGATTTTAATAGATGTAATGCATTAACAGCCCTTTAGGGCACCTTCTATTTTGGGCTAATTCTACTGGAACATACATCTACAGACCCAGTGGAGTCTCTGGCCTTCTGACAGTAAAAAATTAATCAAAATCTCTTGTTTGACTCCCATGATCCTCCTGTCCAACCACCTTCACCGACATTCTTAGTGGCTCCGCCAGTGGATTATATCACACACATGCATTGTGTCTGCAAGCAGCGTGCGTGGGGTGCTTTTTCTTTGTGTATATCGGCTCGTACGCGTGTGAGAAATGAGACATTTAGAGTCTGATCTACATGTAAACCACAGTCCTCTGCCTGATTGCAGCTACTGAGTTAAATGTGGAGGCAATTTCATGCACGGCAGGAGTCCTTCCATAATAAAACAGTTTTTTCTGCGGTTTCAAAAAAATTAGATATCCCATATCAATGACTTCCAAATCATGTTGAACTCTGATTTCATTCTTTTCATGAAGAGCAATTCATAACGTCTTTTAGGCAAGCCCTTTTGCTCCCGCTGTTCCATTTCCTCCTCTCTCTCCCGCTCAACATCCGTCGCTCTCTGTATCTCTTACTCTTTCTAATTCGCTCTCCCTCTCTGCCTTGTCTCCGCTTAAGTGTGGGCAGTGTGATTATGTTCAGGCAGTAATGTAATTTCACTGCATTGATAAAATAGAAATTGTCCTTTATCTGTGTACTGATAGTGCTCAATTTGCAGGCGAGCTCCTCGGCAACCTCTTCAGGGCACGACGCGTGTGCCCTCCCCCAGCCCTCCTCCCCCACGCTCTGCCTGCCTTGAGCTGCTGGAAATCCGCGGGTGCGATTGTCAAATCAATTATTCATTCTGTGCAATTACACTCGCACAAAGAACTTTTCTCTGCTCGGAATGATGATTAAATTAAAAGCTATTCCAGCTGCCTGATAACATCTAATAGAATATTCATAAGCAGCCCAAATGGAATGTATGATCCCCATTAACTTCATCATGCTCACTTAATTACATGCTTGTTATTGTATTTACACCTTGTTAGAGCACATGGAAGCTGATACACTCTCTCTCTCTCTCTCTCTCTCTGGACTATCTTCTCCGTCCTGTCGCACCCGCCTTCTTTCTTTTTTTCCGCTCTGTATTCCCCTCTTTCTTTCGCTGTCTGCTCACCTCTTTTTCTCACGTCTTCCCTCACTCTCTCTTCACATCTTTTCTCCCTCTTAAAAATGCTATTTATTTTAAATGCGACCCCTGCCGGGCCGGGAGGGAACGCGAGGTCTCTGACAACCTCTGTGGCTTTTAGGTTTCTTTTATACATTCTGCACACAGTGATTGAGGGAAAAGAATGAAGAAGAGGAGAGGAGAATGAGGGAAAGAGAAAAAAATTATTTTCTCCCACCTTTCAAAAATGATGACATGATTGCTTTCCCTTGATCATGCATCATCATCTTTCTCCAGCCCCCCTTTTTTCTTTCTTTCCTCAGGTAAATAGTCCCCCTCTCCCTATTCTATGTGCCAGCATTCTGTTTTCTTTCACCATCTCTTTCTTCTGCTGGAGGTAAAAATGCACAAGTGATAATGGTAACCGGCTCTGCAGATGGTGCGTTTGGAATACTATTCCTCTTTTTTGATGTTCAGGTTTGGCCATTTTCTGCGATTGACACTAACTCTGTTTCTACTGCACCTGCTAATGGAAATGGACTGTGATGGAGTCCTAGACCACCAGTTGGGTGCTCAACTACATTTAGGGGCACAGATTCAACCGTCTTTCAAGCATAAACAGGTTTTGTCATATGAATTTCAGTCCGAGCATTTACATATTCTCAAGGAACATTCATGTAAATGCTCTTCTTGGCTGGATCTCCTCTTCTCAAAGCAAAGACTCGCTTTTAACAAAAGTCTTTGGTTAAAGGCTTTTGATTTGGTCTGTAATTCTCATTCAGTCCTGCTATCCTGCCGGTGACTCCTCTATCGTGTCTATGGTATTGAAGGCCCTCCTGATGGGATAAATGACCTTGGATATCGACCCGATTGCATGACCCCGTGGACCCCTGGCAGAAGAGTCTATTTAGCTTCTGCAGACACCTAGCCCCTCTCGCCAGCGCTCTACCCTCAAACTGTCTGGATTGCTGGTTCCTTATCGATTCTCAAAGACTTTCATTTGAAATGATACTTGATAGACCTCTCCAAGCACATGTCCATGAGCATAGTTCGATATTATGACTGATATTTTTCTTTTTGAATCAGTTTTGACTCGTTATGGATCCACTCCAGCCTTGTCTGCTTTTTTTTATGGCATGTAGGTGGGAGAAAATAAAAATCTGGTTAAAATATATTTGTGACCAAATGCTTGTAGTGGACTTGCTAACCATGCAAACATTAACCATGACCTCATAAAAACACAATTAGAGCTTAAGAAATAATATAATTATTAGTATTATATTTGTTGTTGTTGTTATTATTATAAATATTAAAATATATTTATTAGTTTATTTTTCTATTAATCATTTTCTATTATTTATGAGCATTTTTATACAGTATAAATGGATGTTTATGCATTGAAAATATATAGATGGCCTTTGGGAAGGGGTCCTTTGTGATGGGATCATGATATTTGGGGCTCCCTGGCATCAAAAAGTTTGAACAATTGGTGATTTTTTTTTTTTTAATGTATTGTTTGGTTCTCTTCTCAGTGAGATTCAAGATTGGCTGGAAAGGAGAAATGGAAGTGTACAAAATGCTGAAGGATGTAACAGACAACCTCCTCGGCACCAGCGGATACTCTGAGGTCAACCTTGCCAAACTTTTCCAGGCCTTCATATCCCTCAAGTACTGACCAACTGTCCCAAAGCAGTCCTGGGTAATCAGATATGGCATAATATTTATGCCTTTCTGCCCACCAACAGATGCCGTACAATGTTATATTTTCATTTTAATTCCTGTCTGCTGTAAATACACCTTGTGATTTTGTAATCTATTCTATTTTCTAGCTCACTTGCTTTACATTTGTAATCCCTGACAGAGTTTTTGTGGCTGACGTCTTAGGCGTGAATTAAGGTCAAAGGTGACGAGCTCACAGTCAATCTGCATGTAATCACCAAACCTTTCCATGTTTGAGCACCTGTCTCTCACTCTAATCTGTGTTCTTGTATCCCATCCAATTTAGCCTTTGTCCAGGTCTAATCGATGATGAATCTGTGGTAAAATGGCCATGATAAGGGGCTAAAGACGCTCTCAACACAACCCAGCCCCCCACTCCCCCGTTAGCACCACACACAGGGTTTTTAGAGATAACAATCAGGGGTAATGACAGGCAAGTTCGTGGGGGGGGGGGGGGGGCTTGTAGCGGTTTGAAGGGGTCTTAGTTCAGTAATGACTTCTCTACCACCCCCTTCATCTTTAACAGCACAGCAATTAGCCAATGATACAGAGGTAGCCAGTGATTTCTGGAGTTTCGAACAATTGAACTCATGTTTGAACAGCTCTCAGCTGGTATGTTGTGAATTTATTGGATCGCATCGTTCGGTCTGCGCCTGGCAGCTTATGTTGTATGTTTTGAATGTTCATTGCCTATGAAAATGTCTTAGGATTCTTAATTGTTTTGATACGGAAGCACCAATAAAAGCATTTCATAACACTTTCACATTTCCCTTTTTTCCATCTCTTTGATTATTTTATTTCACTATGCTGCAGGGAGTGATGACATTTACACATTTGAAGAGGGCCAGTTAACTTCTCCAAATGGAAGGCTTCATTTTCAAGACCTGGAGAATGGCAAGCCAAGAGTGTGTGAAAGCGAGGAGATTAGTCCACTTAAATCGAGTCGGTTTTAAGAATGTGGTGCTTCACTCGCTCATTCCATGTGTTTATAATGACAGTTAGACGATGTCTTAAACCATTTCATCAGATGTCAATTTCCATAAATGCCATGCTTGAAAAAATCGCCTTAAACGGCTGCGACTAATGGCACCGACCTTGGAGAGTGCAGCAACACTTAAGAGCTACTTTCTGTCCCCAGCATGACAGACAGCATTGTAGGCCTTTGCTGCCAATGTATTAAACATATATAGGCCTATATATACATTTAGCTTAATGTGTGAGCCAAGCTTGGAATTATACTTAACAGATGCAGGTAGTTCCTGAACGTTATGTCGCACTTTTACAAGATTAAGTCATCGCATGAATCTGGGGCTTTCAACAGGACATTCCTTTAACCGTAAACGTGCTTTTGTCGTGCCCGCGGAGGCTGTTTTCAAACTGGGCCACTCAATGCAGACGAGGCTTTGCATTAATTTACCCCACTAAGCTAATAAGAATGATTCGTTTTTGTTATGCTAAGCTTTATTGCCTGTCTTTTTGACCAGAATGGTGGTGTTGAGCAAAGCGGTGGACAAGGTTCTCTTTGATGAGGGAATTAGTGCCCTATTCTTTCTCTATTATTCATGGCATCGCGGAATATGTAAGTACCCGTGGGTGTCAAAAGGAAAGCCGGCCCTATTGCAAAGTGCTCCTCTTGTTTCTCTGAATAGCAGGCTATGAGATGATAAACCGCTTAATACACTGGACTAATTGGATGAGGGTAAAAGAGACGAAGGAATTAAGGCAAACCAAAAGGGGACAGGGTTCCAGTGGCTCGCCATTCAGCCCTTTTCACCGTGATTTCTTACTCTACTGCTCCAATAGGAAACGAGAGGCTCATCAAAGCGCCTTTAGTGCTTTCACCTACCCCCGGTGTCTCGAGCTGTCGGGATGGAAAAGCGTGATTATTCGTTGGTTGTTGAAGCGCAGCCCAGTGAGCTAAAATCAAGGGAATGCATGTGGAATTTTACCATGCATTTATGAACTGTCAGTGTATACTTCATTTGAAATGCTGTAGTTTGTACTATATATTGGTGGGTCTTTCCACACACACAAAAAAAGATTTTGTGTTCCTTGTTAACAAGTAAACTGACTTAAAAAGTTGCCATTTTTAACACACACAAAAATCCAGCTTTTTTTCTCCATAAGAATGTTTTTTCCCAGTCTCCAGTTGTTTCTCCAACCTCTTGTTTAGCTAATATGGACAAAAAAAAATTTGTGGAGAAATTTAGTCTCTCCATTTTTATTTTTTTAAGTGGACATTTTATTAAAGAGACTTGAGATTGTGTCAACCCTGTTACCATCATAAGGGTTATTAAAATGCTGCACAATTCCATTAACAAAAAACTAAAGAAGCCATAATGAACTGTGAAAAGACAAGAGTTTGTCAGTACAACACAGTCTTAAATATGGAACCTTATACATTATTAAACTGGATATTTGTAGAAATATCAAAATTATTTTTCAAAAAGCACAATTCGAAGCCAAATTTGAACATTCTATTGAACAAAAAGGCTTTATGTGTTCATAAATTGAGCCTTTTTGTTCAATAGAATGTTTAAATTTGGCTTCGAATTGTGCTTTTTGAAAATGAAATTGCATCTATTTACTGGAATTACCTTTTTTTATATATATAGTGGTTCCCAAACAGGTGTTTTGGCACTCTAGAGTGTACTTTGTGGTCAGAATATTGGCAATGAATCATCTACACACACTCTCCACAAATAGAGAGGCACATTTAGTCTCTACAAAGTCTGTTTCTTCATTCATGCATTGTAAGAAAAGAGTTAAAGAGAAAGGCGCCCTAAGCACTTCAGGTCAGTGCCTCTACAATTGTGGCGAGCATTCCCCAGATATTACGAGCAAATTGGTTTGCGATTCATTAATAATGTTGACAATAAGATTAAGGCATTCTAGAAAATCTCATAAAAATCCCAACATAAGTGGGCTGCACGCTCCAGTGGTCCCTTCTACAAATAGGGAGGGGGGGTTAAAAAAAGTCTATGCACCTCGCTTGGAGGTATAGCACTGGAGAGAAAATTGGTTTCCTTTGCTTAATGCTCCTTTGAACATATTCTCGCATGCCAACATGTTTAATACGGACTTGCTGCAAGAGGGGGGTCCTTGACGCGCGATGTTTAGAACAATTTGTTGGGCGTTATAGGAGCACTGATCCCCTCACGCCTCCCAACCCGTCTTCATTTCGGTCGTTTCCATCTTCACTGATCCTGCTTGTTTGTGGCGTCATAATGAAACGGATTAGCGTGGGTAAAACAAGGAAAAGAGAAATCTTTTCAGCGGCGCGCGCGATAAAGGAGAAAATTAATCCTTGAGGTAATTTCACGCGATTTGGTTCGACACCATGGACGGGTCAAATGGGCGAAAATGACTTCGTTTGAATGGAGCGCATTGATTGCCGTAATGGCATCGTTTCGCGCGTGAGATCCAACGGGAGAGGGATTTGGGGAATTAAATAAGGAATTCGAAAGAAAGACTTTTTGATAAACTGCTTGTTACATCATTAATGAGAAAGGGACTTAACTGTGTTGGGCATTTACAGATGTTGCGTCCAATTTAGCGCCTCTACAAGTTGTAAGGCCTACAACGGATGAGATGGCGGAATAATTACAAGGCGCTTTTTGTCAAGGGTCGGATAATAGAGCCGTCATGAATATCATCATCTGACTGAATAAAAATAAAAACGTTATTTTGATTATTGTGGACATAAATTATCCTCAATCATTTATAGCAAACCGAAACAAACAAAAAGGCTGTTTCCACAACATAAATGTTTACTTTAGCCTACTGCATGATTGCAGTTAGCCACAGCATTAGCCTACACTGAAACTAATTGATTCATGTTTTAAAGTGGCCACTTAAACTTTTTCTCTTATTAGCGACTCCTGACTCCCACTGAATAATAGCCTAGGCTATTTCTAGAAACTCAACAAATCATATCTAGCTGGGTTTACTCTTAAGGTTGTAAAACTAGCTATGATTTTTTTTTTTATAATGTCTTTTCAAGCATTTAAAAAATATTAACAAATGCTATATTTTTTGTGATCGAGACTTTTAATTTTTACCAAGATAAATGCCTATATTAAATTCACATGATCAGTTGTAAATAATACAGAAGGGTTTGTTTCACCAGTTTCTTTTATTCCGACTTGTCCCTGCGCGCGACAGGGAAAACTCTCACTGAATAGCAAAACTTCCCGGTCTGGATTTCAAGCTCTCTACCGGTCAGACATAAATAATCATCTAAAAATCTAAAATTTGAATCAAACGAACAGAGGGTGAATCTACGAGAAACCATTCCTACAGCACTACAAGGAGAGCGTATTCTCAAAACATCTTTTGAAATAAACTATTTTTTTCTTGCCCATTTCTTGTCATTTTGCCCTCCCCCTCCCCCTTTTCATTCATTTTAAAACAGAGCTATATATACAGGATACCCTTAACAGATCAGTAAACAGGCTAAAGTTTAGATTTTCACATTGTTCATCCTTAAAACAAACAGCATTTCTTTTTCATTATTTTTTCCTCCTAAATATATTTAACATAAGAGTTGAAAACAGAAAGTAAAGCTTAGGATTCATTCTCAGAAATTTGATTTACTTTGTCAATACTGAGGCCAAACTTGAATGGATATGGTTCAGGATGGGTAGCAGGTTGTGGCAGTTCCCTTTGGCATATTGACCCATCTCTGCTTCAGCACTGAGAGAAGACTGGGAAGAAATGAGAGTTCTTCTCAGTGTATTGCAGTGTAGTTCTTCTCTGTGTGGGTGTAAATGTGTCTTTTGCCACATTTGCTCCTGACCCAAAAGACTGGATTGATTTAATGACTTTACCAAGCACTGACCCTCTGAGGTGCCTACATTACACTCTTTATGTTCAGGGTTTTGAAACATGTTTGATGCACTGTGTACATTTTAGTGATGATGTCCAGTGGGCAGCTCTGTGATTTGGCGATGACTCCAGAGTCGGATGGGTCTCCGGTGTGCTAGTGCTATATGGATTTGGTTGTGCTTTTTGTTGAGATGGTTTCTTTAATATTTTGTTTTGTTTTTAAGGAGAAGGATCAGCATACTTCCTTTCCTGCAGTGCCGGACGGCAGGATGTTCAGTTGGGTCAACTGGGCCGAATGTTCCTTTGCTTTGAGACGCAGTGCTGCGATGCTGGATGCCCTGCGGTCGGCGGCCATAGAGGATGAGGAAGATGGCGGGTCTGGCAGGTTTGCCGGCGGCTGCACGGGACCCTCCACTGGCGGTGCAGTTTGGCGCAAGAGAGCGGCGGCCGTGGAAGCACTGGTCAGAGGACCCATACTTGAGAAGAGTCTAAAGAGAAGAGAGCCAGTTCCTGTGATACAATGTACTGGACTTATAAACATGCTCACACCAATGATTATACAACAACATTTTAATCAATGGTACAAAATAAGAGCCATATGCATTTTTATATGTGATTATTATTGCTATATATATATATATATATATATATATATATATATATATATATATATATATATATACAGTTCTTTATTGGCATATTTTTCCATGAAGAACCTTTAGCATCCATGGAAACTTTCCATTGCTCAAAAGCTTCTTTCTTAAAGGGATATAGTTCACCCAAAAATGATAATTCTGTCATCATTTACTCACCCTCAAGTTGTTCCAAACCTGTATACATTTCTTTCTTCTGCTGAACACAAAATAAGTTATCTTGAAGAATGTCAGTAACCAAACATTTGATAGGCCCCATTGACTTCCTTGGTATTTTTTCCCCCTAACTATGGAAGTCAATTGGGCCCATACAATCATTCTTCAAAATATCTTATTTAGTGTTCAGCAGAAGAAAGAAATGTATACAGGTTTGGAAGAACTTGAGGGGGAATTAATGATGACGGAACGACTGACTTGATTGATGACTGATTTTCATTTTTGGGTAAACTATCCCTTTAAAAGTTGTTTAGGTTATTAAAATGTTTTTCACACTAAGAAAAAAAAAATTAGTTTTAGAACTGTTCATTGAAAGATTCTTTGGGGAACCCAAAATGGTTCTTCTATGACATCGCAGTTCTATGACAAGCCCCCTTTTGGAACCTTTTTTTTAAAAGAGTGTAGAATAAGAACAATGATGACTTATTGTGATTGCGAATGGTCTTTACCTGCCAAAAGTGGGTCCAATAAAGGCTGGATGCCTAAACATCGCTGTGCCCAGGAAGGTTCCTAGGCCGAGGGGTGTGGCAGGAGAGAGGCCGGAGCTGTTTGGGGGCGGAGCCAGGCCTGGGAATGCAGCAGCAGCAGCGGCTGCGGCAGTCCATGCTGACTCCAGAGCAGGGTGAGGGTGAGGTGGGAATGGTCCTCCTTCTAGGTAGTGACTCAGGGGGTGAGCGGCTGCCAGCGGCCCAGGAAAGGGCAGGCCCGAGGGGTGAGCCTGGACTCCTGCCTTTTCACGTTTCCTCCACTTTGCCCTTCGGTTTTGAAACCAAACCTGAGATTTGAGACAGAAGCCTTATTAAGTCCAAACTTTACTGTTGACTGCTGGTGTACGGATGAATGCAGCTAATTTGACTATGCTACAAAATTTGAAATCAAAAACCTGCTTATAGGGATACTCCACCCAAAAATGAAAAATCTGTCATCATTTACTCACCCTCAAGTTGATGCAAACCTGTATAAGTTTCTTTCTTTCTGCTGAACACAAAGGAAGATATTTTGAACAATTGGAACTTTGGCACCATTGACTTCCATAGTATTTTTTTTTTTTCTACTATGGAAGTCAATGGTGCCAAACAACTGTTTGGTTCCAATCGTTCTTCAAAATATCTTCCTTTGTGTTCAGCAGAAGAAAGAAACTCATACAGGTTTGCATCAACTTGAGGGTGAGTAAATGATGACAGATTTTTCATTTTTGGGTGGAGTATCCCTTTAAATAGTTGGCCTTGAGAAGTTGAAAATTGTCCCTTCACGTTTCAGATCCAGAGCCATTAATATTCCACCTGACAGCCTGCATGGTCGTTTAAGCATGAGCTTGTCGCTCTTGTTCATGTGCAATATTTGGTTCGCTTTAATGAGGTGACAAATAGGCTGGAAGTCAAGGGAAATTACATGGCCCTAAACTTACGGTCTGTTACCCTAACTTTGCTAATTAAAATCTAGTTCGGGCAGAGCAAAAAACAGGGTGGAGCGTGGTAATTAAGAGCCGTGTTAACAAAAGATGTCGGAACAGCATCCAATAACAATTAATGCACTTTAAATTAAATTCCTCCAAATGTAAGTTGCTTCCAAAAGGCTATTTAACTTTCCCACGATCCCCCTCCTATCCTGCTAAACCCCACCAGGTTGTGCCACAAGAACATGACCTGCAGGCAGGGACTTCATAATGAAGGAAAGTGTCAACAGACGAACCAACAGGGACCTTGGCCCCTCACACATGCTCCAAACCGTTTTGCATTGCGTGGCCCCTGGGGCATTTATTAGCTTTATCACCTCCTGATCGAGCCTGTTAAGTGATTTGTTCTCCCACATCTCCAAATTGACATCTGTTGTTTTACATGGCCAATAACCCTGGTAGCTTCCTCGTGTTTGCACTGTCTCTTTGGTTATGAGAGTTGGGCTTGAACATGCGAGCCACGCTTTGAATAGAGAAAGGAGGGGTGGCAAACACCCTTAATAGTCTCTCACTCGTTCCAAGTGCAAAGCATCGGATCAATGCCGGTCTATTGCAATCACAAAATGGGAAATCAAATAGCATTATCCCCCCTACCCCTCCCTCTCCCCCGCGCCGGCGATGAGAATTCAAACACCATTTTCTCCCTGGAATAGCAGTGTTTGCTCTCTCGCTAAGTGCGCTTTTATGAATCAGGGGCGTCTGTGTAATTGCCGCTAAAATGTTCGCTCTATTGTGTATAATAACTTTCGATAACAGGAAAGACCTTGCCATGACGTACAGGGTCATTTAACCAAGTTTACGATTGTCATTTTAAAATGAAATTAAAAATAGACCATTAGGTATATTGTCTTAACGCCTATAAGCAAATTGCAAGAATTCGCAGGCTCACATCGTGTAGTTAATCTTTAGGCCTACCTTTAAAATGCCGAGAAGTTGTCATATTATAGGCTAGGTAATTTCTCTCAGTTCGCTGCAATTTAAATCCTTTTAACGTCTGAATGAAGTTAAGGTTCTCATCTGTTTTATAGCCTAGAGTACACGTTAATATTATTGTGCATTTAAATTCGATCTATTTTCGTTTTATTTTGTGCTAAAAAAGAAAGAAAAGTATATAAGCACTTACTTGCACGCGCGCTTCTGTCAGATCCAGCCTCATCGCGAGCTCCTCTCTGGAACAGAAAATGTAGATCATCAAAATGTGTGCAGGGATTTTTTTTTCACCCCCACAAACAGCGTAAGAAAACAGATTTTACCTAAATTGTCAGAAACCTATGAAAGCAATTTGGGGCTGATGAGAATCGAACGGAAAACTTGTACGTTTTTCATAATGGGTTGTTTCGTTGGGAAAAGCTGACTGTAACAACATAATGATGGAAATAATGGCATCTAGACTATTATATGACAATTGCGCATTTACTGAAAATATACCTGGCTAAATTTATGACAATTATCTACCACGTCAATATAAACATCGATATTTCATGATCAACAACGAACATTTTGGTTAAAGAACAACGGTCCTCGGGTAAATTTGTCATTAGGCAGACTGATGTTTTTTTTTTATATATATTTAATAGACTTATGTTGTGTGGCGTATTGATTATTTTTCTTTCATGCAACGTGACTACGAATAACGAATAAATGTGGGGCAGTATTTTCAAAATTCAAAAACAAAATTCTTATCAATGTTCAGTTTTCGTCAACTTTTATTGTCATTATCAATAAAGAACATCAATTGTAGGCTACAGCAATATTTTATAATAAAAATATTGTAACTCAAATAATTGTATAGCCCATGCATAACTTTAGAACATTAGTTAATATCATAGGCCTACATCACATTCGTATTAAAATTAGACTTACTTTTATTATGGTATTTAATTTTAAACCATAACATTTTTAAATGTTAATTAGCCAATATTTCAATTTTTGGTATTTTGTGGCTCACTTTTCTAATGCTGTTCCACAATTACATGAACACAAAAATAAGCAATGAAAATTAAAAATGGGCCCAGACCCCCCTTTACCACCTTACAACAGTCACACTTTAAATAAACTTCGTAATTAAAATATTTATTTACACATTTGAGTGTGAAGTGGCTGCTGCTGGCCTATGCTCTTTTAAGGCCCATATTAACTAACTGACCCATAGAGAATAATGTGAGTAACTGTCGTATAAGAATAAATTGTACAGGACATAAACGAGTAGGCTATGCACACATTTCAGTGATTATTGCTCTCTATTGTACAGAATTGCACGCCGATTGTGTTCCCGATTTAACGTTAGGATACTAACCGGTATAATATTATTTTAACAAAGCGAAATATATTTAAATCATTTTCAGAATATAAAGAATACATTTATCTTTTAAACGGACTATATATATATATATATATATATATATATATATATATATATATATATATCCACAAAAGCGTTTCCCACAAATGTTTTGGTTCATGAATCCACACTTTTTTAATTTATCAATGTTTACATCATTTAATGTTTTCTAAAAAATATACATATATATTGGGCTTTGTATTTTTTACATTTATATTTTCAAAATGTTCAAAATATAATTTAAATATTTACCTTAAATGTTTAGTAGGCCTATGTTGTATTGGATTTTAAAAAATAAAAATGAAGTATGGATTAGTGATGTTTCTTTCGATATGTGTATTTCGATTCGTGATGTTTATTTTTCGATTAAAAATAAATACAGATTTTTTGTATTTATGTATTGTATTTTGTATTTATGTATACAATATTTTTTGTATTGTATTTAACTAGGCTATATAAATTTGTTTTATTTTTATTTTTTATATTTAAAAAAAGTCTAACGCATACATCGTGTTCATTACATGAATATTACTATTTTTCTGTCATCGTTGTTGTCAAAATATATTAACCATATACTCTGTCTAAACATCATCTTGCTTAATAACGTGTGAAAGCGTGCGGTATACCTGGTGAACACATCAGGGTAGTGTGTTTTTTGGAAGGCCCTCTCCAGTTCCTCCAGCTGATAGCTGGTGAAGGTAGTCCTGTATCTTCTCTGCTTTCGTTTAAGCATCCCTTCCTCCGAGTCGCTGCCGGCCGATAGACACACACTGTCCTCTCCATCTTTTACATCCCCATCGTTGTGCATGCTCTCTTCATCCTTCGGAGACAGACTGGCGTCTCCGCACGCCTCCTCTTTGACAACATCCTCTTCAAACTTCAGAGTGCTGAGCTCCACCAGTTCCTGGGCCGTGTGCTCGGGACTCTGGCCTTCATCGCTCTGGCTGAAGGGCGCGTTCTCCCTGTACGACTTGCTACGGCTGATGCTAACTTGTGGCGCGTGGCTGATTTTGAGACTCTCACAGGCTTGGTCCAGCAGTCTCTCCCTCTCACCCTTCTCTAGGTGCTCGTGAAACCCCCTCCCGGAGTCCAGGTACTTCCCCCCAGGGCCGTATAGCCGGCGCAGTTTGGGCGGCAGGTGCATGTCCGAGTCAAACGAGTTCTCTTTAGAGGTGACTAGAAAAATAAAACAATATCATATTTTTAAATGCTCAAAACAGTATATATTAAAAAAGCATTATACACACATTCCCCTGTTCAGCTTGTGGGGGTATACATATTATAAATATTATAGAAATGTACGGTTTTTGATACAATTTGCTGCATAAGGTTTTTTTTTAGATTATTATATAGGCTACGATAAAAAGTTATTTTTATAGTTTCTTCAGTACCCTACTGTATAGTGATGGTGTTACTATCAGATGGTATTTTGGTATATACCATGGTAGCTACTGAATGATTGCATGGCCAAAAACATTGGTTTTACTTCTTGGTTGGCAAAAGTAGCCTATCCATTAAGAAGACCTGAGGACTCGATTTCTTAGGAACTTAAAAAGATTCTCAAATTGCGTAACCCCCCTTTAAAACCTTTATTTTAACGAATGAAGCATTTCAAGGCTGTTCATTTGAATTTATTTTTTAATTAGAGAGGTTCTTAAAACTTTCAGGACTCTATTTTCACACCCCAGAGGCGCTCCAAGGTGTTGCTTCTGACCAGGACCCTATTTCTGTACATATTTCTACAAATATGAATGCGCCTGACTGACAAAACGTAAAACAGCACAAAAGAAGTAGAAATAACGTTAAAGGGCTTACCTTCGGTTGACTGGTCGTGGTCCTGTCTGACGGGTGCTGGCAAACTTTGCGCTGCCAGTTGTCTGACTTTACACGGGCTTCTTCTGCCCAGTATACTGTCTATGCAGTAGGAGGAAAGTACGGTGGGCGACTTGCTTTTACATTCGCTTCGGTCGCGGCTCTCGTCGTCGTACTGACTACTCATGTTTGTATCGTCCAAGGTTGTGCTCGAGTGGGAGACTGTTACTCTCTCTCGCACTGTATCTGAAACGTCTCTCTTGCCTATCCCACCCTGGCCGCTAATGCTATATGCACTGATCCGCAGTAGCTCCGCTCTCCATTCTGTTGCATTGACGTGTAACGCAAATCTGATTGGCTCCCAAGGGAACAAGGGGGATCTTTTATATATTTTTCTATTAAAGTTAAACAGTATGAACTCAGCGAATGTTGTGATGGATTACTGAAGTTACTGGATAAGCACCTCCACATTTAGACTGAAATTAGATTAATATAAAAGAATAAATATAACGCTGGAGATAGGCTAAATCCTGAGGTTTTATGTAGCATCTAAAGCACATTTACATTCACGTTTTGTATATTGTGATGCCGGATGTTTTGATTTTTAATCATAATAACTAAATTATTATTATTAATTATTATTATCATGTCTTTTTAAAAATGTCAAATATATAAAAATATATATGTGAAATAAGGACTCTTCAGTTCACAGGCCTATTAAAATACACTGGCATTTAAAAATTAGTATCTGTAAAAAATAGTATCTTTTTGTTTTGTTGATAAGAAGAGCATCTTACTTTTTTCTATTACCAATTTTTTTTCTATTATTAATTTTCTATTATTGTGTGCTCTCTGTTCCATACATTTATTTTTAGGCATTTTAAAAAGGGACACGGTTTATTTGTCTAATATTGGTCTGTCTGTCTGTGTAGAGATGTGATACTATTATAATTTTATACTATCTGTGCCATATAGTCAAAGCAACTTAAGGCCTGACCGGGTGAATCGCTGCACCTGGACCCTCTGTGCGGATACACACACCTAAAGCCTCATTGCTCCTCTCAGAGTGAAGCGATCAGATAGCCATAGATGATTGACTTAAAAAGTGAGGGTGGTGATAATAGGCCACTGAGAGCCTATGCTACAGGCACCTAGACTCCAGAAGACTGAAGAGACAGATTGAGAATGTAATTTTAAATGAAAGTCTATTTAACCTGCTGCGGATGGCATGACCCACCCGCAGCTCGCCGCTCAGACCCATCAATGTTAAAAGGATCATTTTCACAATTCAATCCCAAACTTGCAACGAAGCTGCAATTTACACTCTCCTCTTCATAGGTTATATGATTCTGCTCTGGTGAGATTATGGGTCGTGAGAATACGAATACCCTACTGATGATGTTTGGCTTTAATTGGACTTTGAAAAAATGCCCTTCAATATTCTTCATAAACATTATAAAACAACAGTAAAATCATGCACTGTTAGGACGAATTATTTTTCCCTCAAACTTCAGCATCATCTAAGCAGATCAACAGAACTGAGTAATGACAATAATAACAATATAAGACATTTTTCTCGTTCCCAAACAGGCGCGTAATGCAGACGGGTATTTAAAGTCGCTATGTAATTTGGGGGCACAATTTGATTCATTTATACGCGCTCTGTTATTAACCCAAGAAAAGAAATGTCAGGGACTATTACCGCCAGCAGGACATCCGCGCTTTGTTTAAATGCACTAATTACACGCACGCATCTGAAAAAAATGCGCAATTTTCCCATATTCAGTCCTGAGTCTATTTAGCGCTCTACGTGCGGGCAGGCAAGCTGTTAGTGGGTGCCAGTCAGTTTCACGCTCCTCTATTACCCGATACCACAGTGTGTCATATTTTCACAACAGCCTAACTTGATAATTTCTACAATCGTCTTCTGTTTTGCAAGGGTTTACATGGCCCATAATCCGTTGGGTTTTGGCTATACGCATGCAAACCACCCCCTGTTCCGTTAACAATAATCTTTTCTCAAACTAAGTAACACTAGGTGACACTTTACATAGTTTCGGTGATGTTATACCAACCGCTCAACAGCTGTGTCTAAATCCCTAATATAGACTATATCACTCCCACGTTTTCAAGCAGCGCCATCTCCTGGTGTTAACAAAAGCGCTCATGGGTAAAGCCAGTCAGTTGAGCAAAAACTAAACGAAAACTGCATCATGATTGACGCTATTTTAAATCATCAGTTGTAATTCATGTGGAAAGTTTATGCCACATTTCTTTTTGATTATGGATAATCACGGATAACATAGTTGCATATTAATTTAAAACATGTTTTCTTAAATCTATCTATCCATCCATCCATCCATCCATCCATCTATCCATCTATCTATCTCAGAAAGTTCAGATTATTAATTAGTTAGTGTAGAGGTTACTGTGTGGTTAGCGGCTCAGTATTGAATTTAGGAGCCACACTGATGACAGTTCTGCTCCAGAGGTGGTGTGTCTTCATTCCTGTTGCTGTGACTTAATTGGATGCTGCTCTGCTTGAAAGGGCGAACAAAAAGACGTGCTCTCAGACTCGCGCGTAAGCAAAGTTAATTAGCGGTTATTAACACCACGCATAATGAGAGCGCGAGGGAGTCAATTTAATGACTTTGTTAGCTTAAGTTTAGAATGACAGTCGATGATCGGAACAACAATAGCAATCTAGAACGCAATGATCATCTGTAATTTTCACCAGTAATACGCACTAATAAAAAACAAAAGGACTCTAATTTTGTTCATCTGACTCGATAATTTGAATTTATTTAAAAAATAGGGAGAGAAGGAGGAAGAGGAAAGACAACTCAAACACTTTAACCAAAGATTATCCTGTCATTGAAGTCACAAGTAAATAGGGTCACAATTGTTTTATTGTTTGCATGCCAAATGATTATTGTTTAGCTATTTGGTGGGGTTCCAGAAAGATGCTTCTGTGCAGAGTGAGCGATAACAGTTGATTTTGCTCCATTTTGATATGTTTTCCGTGTTGTCCCGAATTCTGTGACTGTACCGAATTATGTGAGCATATAGCCTAGGCGCTGTATTGAGGTAATCCTAATCCCAATCGTTTACACTTTATTTGGTTACACTTTATTTTAAGGTGTTATTGTTACAGTGTGAGTAATATTAATTAACTAGCCATCATGTAGCCTATATATATATATATATATATATATATATATATATATATATATATATATATATATATTATAATAATATAATATAGGATTAGGATTTGGTTGAGGGTAGTTGCATGTAAATATGCACAATTTACGGTTATTATTATGGTAAGCATGTAACATATGTAACAAGGGATCTGTAAAATAAAGTGTTACCCTTTATTTTAAGGTGTCCTTGTTACAGTGTTACTGAATAGGCTAATATTATGTTATTATAGGCCTATAGGGTTAGGGTTCGCGTTATAGGTTTAGAGTTAGTTGCATGTAATTATTTAGGCCTATTGTTATTACTATAATAACTAGGCCTACATGTAACCTATGAAACAATGACATTGTTACACTGTTAGGCTACTCCTAACGCTAATTCGGTGGGTCGCAGAATTCGACATTTGCATATGTCTAGATGCATGACTTGCAGTGGCCATCCACGTTCACGACCACATGACCATTCGTTTAATTGATTTAATTTGCAGAATTATGTGTGTCATTCATTATTAGGCAACAATCACAACAGTCTTCTAACAATAAGTAATTGTTGTGCACATAAAGTTTTATCTTATTTTTGATATTGAATAAAATGACATGTTTTCGATCGTCACCTTTTCTCTTAAACATACTTTTTTTTCTTGGACCAGTCACCACCCGAAGTGTAGGGAGCAGACTATTCAGTGGCTTTCAGGGTGGTCGACTTGCCCATTTAGGTATATGACGTAAATTTAAAGAAGTTCTAAATAAAGTTGTTTTGTTTTTGCATGATCTTACCGCTGGAACGGCGAACTGTTGCTATGGTAACCTCCTCAGGCGATCGCGACTTCTGTTCGCTGGCGGTTATTTCGCTCATTCTGATTTAGCCTAGCTAATCCAAGTTTTATATGATTACAAAAACGTCGTGTGGAAACGCGATTTTAACATATAGGGGTAGGTTACTTGTGTAAAAACAATGCATAGTGTTCAGGCCTTTTTGGTGCAGGATAGACCCCCTCTCCCCATTAATATTACCGTGCAGAGATCATACAGTTGAGATCATACAGTTCCTCATTTGGTAGTTTGTCAAGTTTTCAATTTTTGCGCATCATTTCATATAAATCTGAATGCAATTTTTTTGTAGATTACAGGGGACTGTGGGTTCTCCTCTGCATTCTTATCGATTTGTGGAACGCGAAGCGTGGAATGGCTTCTTTAATAATGCATTTGGGTGAAAGGTCGCAAATATGAGTTGGAACAATTTTGCGTCTCCGATCGTAGGCCTATTATCGTTTAGGTCTGAAGAAGTTCACAGGGGCTTCTGCACTTAGCATTTATTTATTTTATTTTAGGCTATATTTTTAGTTTTTGCCTGAAACGAGAGTTCGTGTGCGCTGATGATCTAAAGAGGTGCTCTTGCCCTTTATTGATTGCTTCTTGGAAAGAATATGAATGTCTAAATTCAAGAATGACAATCCTTTATTAAGTTAATCAAAGTAATACATGCAAATTATTCTTCTTCTCCTATGAGCTTATTAAAACCTCTCCCCTTGAATTTGAAGAAGTCCATTTATTCAGTTAGCGTCAATAACGCGCGCAAATATCGCCATGCAAATGAAAGTTGATTAGAGTAAATTAGAGACTTAGCTGCTATCTGACCTTGTCTGAGTTTTATGTAAATTTTGTAAAAACGACACAAGGAAATAAATGACATTTAGACATTCGTACAAAAGAAGTAATCAAGAGGTTTTCAACGGGAAGAAAAATAATTTGTGTCTTTCGCTAAGCTTTATCATGAGCCGGAGAACATCACAGAAGGTCATGTAGCCTATTTTGGAAAAATATTGTACCATACCATCTTGACACAGATATGAGGCTATGGGTCAATGATAATATTTTATTTTTATACCAATCAATTGAGTTATTCAGAAATAAAAATAATTTCATACAGAAATTTTTTGGGCTATAGGCCTATACACATCTTCAGTTAGGGTTAGGCTATATGATGAACATCTTTTCATTTTCTAAATCAAAATTATTATTTTTGTGAAGCTTTAAGTAAAATGTGTGGTAGGCTATGAGATTGTAACGGAAGAAAAAAAAAGTCTCATTAAAAGGTAGAAATTCTTGATAAAAGAAATGTTGGCAGAAGTAGTTAGGCAATTCATTAATTTATTCAACATTCAATCATTTGTTTAATTTTGTTTTAAAATACCACTTATATTTGAAGAACTTTTTGTCTGCCAAAT